CTCTCTCTCTCTCTCTCTCTCTCTCTCTCTCATACACACATTAATTATCATTATACTATGCATGTATTATATAAAACGTGGTAAGGAATGGAAATGTATTGGAGAGACCATAACATGTGTCCGACTGAAGAGCAATACTCATCAATGGTCCGCAAGAAGACGTGTCACGTATTCATTGGCGTAAAACTAATGCAATTGTTAAGCGATTGCAATGAATTGGATTTACAGCCACTGATCGCTATAATGAGTGAATACATTCAGATTAGAAACGATTACCAGAACCTAACGTCGGAAGAGGTTTGCGAACACCATATTGTATTAAGTGATCAAAATCTTATGTTTCACTTATCATGAATTGAGATTAACTCTTACTGTTGCTCTCAATCCTTGTTTTAGTTGCAAAAAATCAAAGGGTTTTGCGAAGACTTTACTGAAGGAAAGTTCTCGTCGTTTCCTATAATACACGCGATTCACAGCGATCTCAACGACACTACAGTTAGCGGTAAGTCTATCGGCCGGCAGTAAATTATGTGTGTTTAATGTACAGCACATATAATGCATATATTATATCTACGATTACGTTACATTAAAACACGTGGTAATTGTTTTGGTAATTATTTTGTTGCAGATATACTACGGATGCGAACTAAAGACAAGGCATTGATAGAAAAGGCACTGAAAAAGATGCAGAGTTTGGGTTCATTTGAGTATACATTGAAACGTCTAAAACAATTGGATGCAATGGCTAGGGATGCGGTGAAACGTCTCGGCCCTAACCATATGATTGAACAAGCGTTAGATTATTTGCTTTATAATAAAAAATAAGCGTATATATTTAATTAAATGTTAATACATTTATTATTCTAATAACATAAATTTATTTGTTTTGTAAGAAATAAATTTTTATTAATTGGTAAAATATTTTATATATATTCTATATTTTTTATTCAACACAAGTAATTAAGCAAGTTATTTATAATACTGTATACGGTGATTCAAAATTATCCATAGCATAATTTATTCAGTGTGTGCTCTATGGGTACGACTAACATCAATCATAATACCTTGATCGGGGAACTGTAACCAGACCATGGTAGGACACATTTTCAGCAGGCCAAAAACTCCAATTGTAATATGGTAAATCGACACTATTTGTGACATTAGGACAAACTACAGTGTCTACATTATTTGATGAGCAGATCGCATTATCTGTAACAATTATAAATTATCATGATCATTGCATAATTGTATTATAATTTTAAAATATACAAAAATGTATATAGTATAATTTTATAACTAAAACATTTCATTTACCACATGTCTTGCTAAAAATATTATAGTAACCATGCTCAATAGATTTGCCCACACGAATATAGTGGTAATGTGTGTGCTTTTTAAACGAGATAATTTTATACCAACCATCCCTCTCTGATCTAAATGCTTGCCATAGATCGCTGTTTCTTATATTAATAGTCATGTTTATATCGCCCGTCTTAGTGCCAGTATATTCGTCCCAGATCAAAAATTTTCCAGTACCATTATTTTGAATAACGTAATACGAGTCAACCACCATGGGCAATTCTTTGCCAGTATTAACATTGATAATTTGTTTACTTCTTGAATAACCTTGTAGCAATTTAAGAATTTTATTAATTAATAATTTAATTTGTTTCTGTTATTTACCATAACAATTAATATTTCTAGGAGCGTTAAATATAGCTAATAACAATAATAATAAAGGTGATAGATGTTGTGTTGTCATTATTGATTCAATTGTAATTCTTATATAATAAAACTGATTTAATTTACACAATCAATCCTGGTATATTGTATTATGATTACAGGATTTATAATAATGGTTTTGTTTTATATTCTATTCAAAAATGTATTTCACATGCTATAAAGTAAACACTTGTAAAATGTTTTACAATAATTCTTAATTAATTTTTAATTGATGTTTTTAATTACTATAACATTTTATAATACTGTATACGCGATTTGAATTGAACAGAATATTTAATTAATGAATGTTATACATGTTTATAAATATAATAAATAAAGTTCTGTCAGAATATTCTCTCTCTCTCTCTCTCTCTCTCTCTCTCTCTCTCTCTATCACACACTCACTCACTCAGTCTTTCTCAACATTACATGTATTCATTGATAAACTATAAAAAATTTAATTAAATAATTTGATAAAAGTCATATTAAATATTTTTAATAAAATATAATTTTTGTAATCTAATTATAAATTACAATATTTTCAGAGAACAATAAAAAGTATCATTGAGAATAGATAATTAAAATTTATTTATAATATGTTTAATCCATTGGTTTAATAATAAAAATAACACCTTAATTATTTATGCCCTACGAGCGTATGCCGGTGTGCGGCGACGTTTACGACGTCTACCACGTATATTGTGGTGGTCCTATTAAATAAGCAAGTTTTCAATGATTTGTTAAGTTTTACCATAATAATAATAAATTACATTGACATTTATTTAATTACATCATTAAAAATAAATGTAAAATTATACCTGCGAGCTATCAGTAGTATGACTATCATAATCTAGGTCACTACTGGCCATAGTGACCAGACCGTGATAGGACACATTTTCAGCAGGCATAAAACTCCAATTGTAGCTGGACATGTTGGCGCTATTTGTGGCGTTGGGACAGATAACAGTGTCTAGGTTGTTTAACGAACCAATTGGTGTGTCTATAAATATTTTTAATTTAATTTCATTAAATTTTATCAGGTTAATAATTTTATTAACCCACCCTGTATAAATTTTAAATAATTTTAAATAATATTTAATAGACATTTTACCGCATGTCTTGCTGTAGATATTGTAGTAACCTTGCTCGATTGATTTGCCCACACGAACCAGATGAGAGGGTGTAGACTTTTTATGCAAGATCATTTTATACCAGTCGTCCTGAACTCGCCTAAACGCGTGCCACAAATGACTGTCCCTAATGTTAATCGTTATGTTTTTATCACCGGTTACGGTGCCCGTATATTCATCCCATATTAAAAATTTGCCCGTACCATGATTCTGAATTACGTAATACGAATTAGTTACCATGGGCAATTTTTTACCCGTGTTGATATTGATCATTTGCTCAGTGTTTGATGATGATTCTGTACTCCCGTCACAACATCCTGCTCGTAATTTAACATGCTATTAGTTATTTATTAATGCCATAATTTATATTAAGTTAATTTCTAATTATACTTTACTTTTGCAATGCAGATGAGAAACAAATAATATTAATAATATTGCCGGTAAATGAGCAATCATTTTTTGCAATATTGTAACTTATTTTAACTTGTTAATTGTTTTGTATTACATTTTATTCTGCTGTTTATTTAATTGTTTTAATGATATTTACTACCTTTCTGATTTTTACATATGTTTTATTGTAAACAATTGATATATTTCCTATTAATTTGTTAATTAGTTTTTAATTATTTTATAGACAATTGTATAATAGGTTAGATAATTCCTATTAACGGGCAAATGTACAAAATAATTATTTAGATATATTACAATGAAGTTAAGGCGATTACAGAACTACAGAAGGTATAAAACTATTGGGTATAGATATTACAAAATTACATGCAAAAAATAAAACACATCTATTTTATTTAAACAAATAAAATCACCTTGTTTTATTTACAAATTAAAATAATTTATTAATTAAATAATACATTTGGTCTATCTGTACATTCATTGTATTCATAATTAATTTACAATTACAACTTTTTATTGAAATTATCTAAATTATAATTTTAATTAAGGTACATATAAGTGTATTATCATACCCAGATTAATAATATTTAAAAAAGTTATATAATTGATTATACTTTATATTCTAACAAATTATACAATTAGAAACATGCATAGATAAACAATATCATATTAAATTATATAGTGTTAATTACTATAAACACGTGTTTCATAGCGTCTTCGGCGATGTGATTGTTGTATTTGACCAGGGGTAGTAGTTGTAATTGTAAGATTTGATAAATCAGCAGGCAAAAATCGCCAATTATACAGCCGTATATTTTCCCTATTTGTAGAGCTAGGGCAAACAATTTTATCATGATCGCTCGCAGTCGAAATAGGGTTATCTAGATTATACATATAAATTACAGTATTATATTTTATTTTATCACAAATAATAAACTAATATTAAATAATTATTATTTACCGCAAGTTCTACTGTATAAATGATAATAACCAGGATCAATAGATTTGCCCACTCTAACCATGTGGCTATATGCATTTGTTTTGCGTGAGTACATTTGATACCAACCATTGCGACCATGGCGAAATATATGCCACAGAACAGTTTGCTGTAGATTGACCGTCATATCCGTGTCACCGGTTTTAGTGCCCTCGTACTCATTCCATACAAGAAACCTAGCGGTGCCCTCATTTTGAATTACATAGTAGGTGTTTGTGAGCAAGGGCAATTGTTGACCACCGTTAATATTGGCTATATTCTCTGTAGGCCATCTACGATTAGACGACCTACATGCCATCACTAAATATTTAATAAATAATTAATACATAGGTAGTTGATGTACTTGTAATTATAGTTAATTTTTAAATTTATAAATACCATGGTTAGTTGAGACCACATTTAAAATTATTATTATTAACAAAGTAACATTAACAAGTTCATTCATTGTTAACACAATTTAATTGTATGACTTTTTATTTACATCAAATATAATGAATAACGTGCATATTATTTTGTTCATTTAATCCCAGAATGTTTCAATTTATAGTAGTAAATCTATTTTTGTTTTTAAACACATGGTCATAATTAAATATAAATCAAATTATCATGAATTTTATTAATTGATTCCCATTAAAATAAATGTTACAATAATTTATTTATTTATACAATTTATAATAATGAAAAATACAATCTGATTAAACATTGTTATTAAAATATTACTTTAATAAACCTAATAACAATGGTTTACAAATAAATCAAAATGCTTAATCAAATTATTTGCCATAACCATAATAGTTACTAGTGGTGGAAGTTTTGTGGTGATCCTTAAGCTCAAACTCCCAGTGATATTCCTGATAATTGGACTCCTGATTGGTGGGGCTTCTCCCCCTGAATGGCACTTCGCGTACAAAATACATGCATAAAATTTATCTGTACTCAACCCATGACATGAATTTGGCACAACTTATGAACGCATTGGGCGTATGGAATAACCGTATGGTTCCCTACGGGGCCTCACTAGTGTTGCCAGATAAATTTTGACCAAAACTGGTTTCACATTAGACAATCAACCCTAAAACTGGACAGCACAACTTATGAACGCATTGGGCGTATGGAATAACCGTATGGTTCCCTACGGGGCCTCACTAGTGTTGCCAGATAAATTTTGACCAAAACTGGTTTCACATTAGACAATCAACCCTAAAACTGGACAAAACTGGACATAATCATTTTGTTGTGTTTTTATATAGAATATTTATATGGTATAGATATTAGATATGATTATGATTTAGATCAGTAACGACAGAAAATGCCAAAAAATGCCAAAATTATGTTAGCATTTATGTACAATATTATAGTGAGTAATACTATTCAGATATCAAACACAATGATAGCACAAAACCTACGTTTACTTAAATCATGTCTTTTGGCGTTCCTGATTTAGATATTATTCTATAACAACATTATTCTGTTACAACAATACATATCCACGTTAATTTATAAATTAAAAAGTTACTAGCTGTCAGCCCCGTCCACAAACTCTGCTACCCACCCCCTATTATCCC